CTTTTTAGTCTGAAATCTGTATGCTAGATATTGAATAAGGTGGTTTTATTGTTTTTTGTCACTTTGAATAATATTTCTGTTCATGTTAAAAACAAAATCAACTCTCTGTATAAATATATCAGGTGACCGTTAAGGCCCATGGGCCTCTTGTTATCAGAAGAACGTACTTTAATAAAACGGTTTGGGTTTAAAATTTGGAGTCAACAGTAAAATGATCGAATAAGGGTTCCAAGAGAGATAACTCTGGTTTGAGTGTGTAGACTGACCATGCCTTTTTAATGCATCAGAAACCATGTCACAGCTTTACCCATGGAAGAGTTTTGAAGGTAATCACCTCCTCCTATAAAGTGCACCCCAACAGCTTTAAGTCTTTGGCTTCTTGTCCTTACATTCTCCTCGATACTTTACAATCATTAATTATTTCAAACGAGAAATTTTGAAAATGAAATAATGGGAAAGGGAGAAGACTCTGTAATCCTTACAGCGATTAGGTGTTCCTACTGAACGGGGGCTGCTGTGCATATAACCTATTGTCAGTTTCTATAAATAAAAGTCCTTATTTTCAAAACAAATCTTGCCAGTATAATGTATATCAAGTCGTAAAATTAGGTTGTCAAACGCATGTCTCTGTTGTTAATGTTAACTCATATGAAGAAGATAAAGAAAATACAGAAGAAAGATATTTGTTCTTATAAACGTACATATAGAATTAAAAATGATATCAATAACAGATGTGGCTGGGGGAGATAAATAGGAATCTATTTTGTGTACCTATTTCTATTGGTATGATTGCCATGGTTTCTGTGGCGACCGGGGTCACATTGGGAGTGTTATTGTGTGTTCCAGGGGAACAGCTGAGTGTGTTCAATGAGCAGGCCAGGATCTACATTGGGGGCTACAAAAACAGTACCGGTATCCACAGGCAGTTTGTCGGCACACTACAAGGTAGGGGATCAATATCTTTGGGTGGTTCTATTGACAAAAAAAAATCACAGTTTACCCTTATATATTAATTATCATTTCAATTTGTTCTTATTGTCTTAAAAAGTCGGTCATTTAAAAGTATATAAAACAAAAAGAGACATTGTGATAATAGCACTATAATCATTGTTTCTTGTATTATCACCTAAGTCATTTAAATTAATGTTGTTTAGTTTAATGTTAAGCATATACTTTGTATATATATGTGAAATAAATATTAAAATGGAAAGAGCAGTTGGAGAGACAAAGTTTCATTGTATGAGACGTCATGTTTCAGGTCTTGTATTTAATGGTATATCGGTGCTGGAGATGGCCTCCAGGAACGACAGTCGAATCACAGTAGAAGGAAAAGTCAAACTCACTATTCCTGATAGGTAAGAGTGTTGGGCTGCCGGCCTGGAATGGGTTCCATATAATGATGTTTTCTCGGAGATAAACTCTTTGAATAAGGAATGGAGGGTCTGAATTATTGAAATCAACAACAGCTACAATGACCATGTTCAAACTTATTGGTAGACCCATAGATAATCACCATGACAAACACAGTAGGTATATGGTAAACTTTTGACTTCATAGACCAAGTTATCTCTGAAGTTACTTGTTAGTTACTATGATGTATATGATTCAATGTAAGTCTAGTGGTGAGGGGAAGTGTTTAGTCAAGTAACCCTTCTTCTTTTATTATTATACATTTCCCTCAATGTCATGACATCAAGCTGCACACTATGTATAATGGTCTTGGCCAAGGTCTAGTCTATAACAGTAGGTCTGTAGGAAATCTATCAGAAATAGACCTGTTGTCTATGGTGTGTGTAAACTCTTAAGTTCTAAGTCTGCATTGAGAGTGTTGTGTTTTATGTAAATGAGTGATATATTTCCAGGTATGTTGTTGGCATGTGGGACAGTTTAAAGTTAAAACTGACTTGGTAAATTCATTTTAGTGAGTGTTTAACTTGTTTACTTTAACTGAAGGAGTGTAAGGGGCAGATTCCCTGGAAAATTTGATAATTTTCATGTTCACCATTACTTATCTACCTATATACAATATAGTCTTCAGCCAATTTTATTATATTGTCTGGTTTCAGTGCTAAGCACATTATTAGACTTTTCAGATAAGTCAGTTTAATTAAGATATACATGAACATATCGTATATTTTATTTACTTACAGGAATGCAAACATACAATCTACCATGGGAATACGGGTAAGTTAACAACTCTCCTATCAACCCCAGCTAAGATAGATTTGAATCACATACATTATGAAATCATCATATTTATTTTTAATTCATACCTGCCAACCCTGGATATACTGAAAGAGGGTTATGACCCTCTTTTGAACATTAAAAAAGAGGGTCATATATAGTACGTGACGATTTTTTTCGCAACAAATACAGAAGAAAAATAGATATTAAATTAATAATTTAATATTTGATATGATATATGATATTTCAATTATGCACCAGGTACATTTCTACAGCAAGTACATAACTGACAACTCTTGTTGTATTCAGCTGTTGCAGACTTTGCAGAGGCTAATTCACTGGCTGATGGTTGTGAACCATAACCATAATCATTTTGGTTGAATTTGCAACTGAGAAGTGAACACAAAGTGTCATTTTGGAGATCAGCTCTGAATTTAGTGTGTATTTGTTTAACTATGGAAAAAGCTCTTTCTGAGTCTGCGTTACTGTTTGGCAGTACCAACAGTGTTTTTACCAGTCTGGACAACACATGGAATCTTGGTTTTTGTGTCAAGATGTCTTTGACTCTATCCATTTGTCCCCAAAACTGTTCAATTCTGTCGTCATTTTCACAATCTGGATTGTCACCAACAGGGGCTAGCTAGTTGATAGTCGGAAAACTGCTCTTCCAGCAGATCCAGCTGTTCCTCCTTCACAATTCCAGGAAATCTCTTCACCAAATTTAACACTGAAAAACAAAAAGATTTGTCAATGACACAATTTATTAAAATTAATTGATATAAGTATACTGTTGTATGTTCATGTGTGTGTGTGTGGGGCTAAGAAAAACTCAACCTTGTCTGATGTAAATCGGTCATTCATCTGTGGGTTGATGAGTCCAATGTCATTCAGAGTGGTGTCAGAAAAAGGGAAATTTCTTTATCATCTTGCTGACAATGGTTTGGTAGAACTGCCTGACTACTCTGAAACATGAAAAAACATACAACCAAGTGTAAGAGATTTACAAATATGGAGTACAACAGGAAGAAAGTCAATGTATTATTTAGTTTCGTACTGACCTAAGAAATTCCTTTTCTGTCTGCATACAAATGTCATCCTGTGAATCCACCCTATAGGCTCTGTTCTTCATTCCAATACTGATCAGTTCATCCCTCAACTGGTTCTGAGGATCATCAAATGGAACAGTGGTAACATCAGAGTGAGAAGATATGACAGATGCTTTGACAAATTTCCGTTGGAACTTCCTCAGTAGCCTTCGTATTTGATCACTGAGGATGCCAATTCTTGCAACATCAGCCTAAAATATCAAGAGAAACATCTGAAGTCTGTGCACTCTGTGATGATGGCAAGAACGACGACATAGATATTGACTGACTCTGTGCACTTTCCATTTGCATATGATTCTGTGTTTATTGCATGTCTACCAACATCATTTTTGGCACCAGATCCAACCGAAATATGCGAATTGCATAGATTGCAGTATGCATCATTTGGACCCCGATCACTAGGCTTTATCCATTAAAAGCCTTTAAACCACGATGTCTGGTATGTGCATAAATACCTTTTCTTTTTAGAATTAGGTGTAGGTCCTAATAACGACCTTTTCCTTCCAGAAGACAAACCTTCCAAATGCGATCTATACTACACAATTGTAAAAACAACTCATTACTTACCTGTCGATAACATCACTCTATATATAATAAACATTTGTAATAACAATTCAAGTATGTGTAAGCAACTCACAACTTACCTGTCGGGGAAAAACGTAAACATGAATTTTGATCGTCTTCCTTTCGACAGAGGATAGAAAAGTCTAGAGAATTCCGAATAACTATATTCTGTAACTTCTAATGTTCGAATCGGTTCTGGGTGAAAAGGGTGAAAATGACGAAATCCAGGTCAAAATCGTAACCCGGCGTGTGAAGTTATTAAAGCGGGTGAAGGGCTAAGCTCTTGGGTGAAACCCGACGAAATCGGGTCACTTGGCAGGTATCAAATGGTTCATAAGAATTTAATTATGCTTTCAGTATTGAATTGTCAAAGAAAGGATGCTACATGATGAAAATTATCAGGGTATATTTTGTACAGCTAATTGTAGATAATCCATTGTGTTACTGTAAGGTTTTTTAAAATTATCTTAACATTCAAAAATGTGGATATATTCTAAAACGTTTGTATAGCCCTATATATATGTATGGCTATAGCATTGGGACTTTACTTTACTTATTTCGGTAATTTTATACACTTTACAACAAGTTGGTAGCTAGGCCACTATTCCAACATTCTGATGTTACGGTATAGGTAGTTTATGATCAATTGTTAAGTTGACAGTCATACTATAGGACTGTTGATAATGTAAAGAAGGAATTTCTGATAACAAACTTCAGCATCAACTATCTGAAAGGTCTCTAAAGGCAGAAGAGGAGCCATGCACAGACTGCAACAGGCTGTTGAGGAAGCAGGCAACACCAGAGATTCCGTTGCCAAGCCGATCCAATGTGACGCACAACCACGCTCACAAAGCCAGTGGAGTGGACACACTGTGGAGAATTCTACATAAATCTCAAGATCAAGGTTTGAGGATATTGACTGAAGCACAGCCACCAGCTTCAAAAAATGGTTCAGAGGGTTTGGATAAGACATTGCAAGATTCGTTGGACAGAAACAAAGATTCAGCGCCACAGCATGTTCTTGGTGGGGATATCATGTTAACAAAAATGCTACCCCATGACAAAGAGCAGATGATAGGGAAACAGAGACAACTACATCACAGGGATGAGGAGGGACAACAATCTTCTCCAAATAACTTTACAGATGAGGTTAGACCTAGTTCTGGAGATAGCAATGTCCCTGACTATGACACAGAGCAAAATAGTGTAGCTTACTATGACACAGAAAGCAGCAACATTATCTCCGACCTTCAAACCCGCTCAGAAGACGAAGAGTCAGAAAGGACATTGCAATTTGGCTCGGGGGATGACAATCAGCCAGATGGTGCTGAAAACATGTTATCCGGCATTCCATCAGAGTCTATTCATTCTCAGGGATCAGGCTGGTCCAAATCACTAACAGACAGTGACAGACAGCCACAGTCAAAAAGACCTTATGAGACATCTGTGGACCATCAGCTCAAAGGAAACTTTGTGTTTGAAAATGGGTCAACTTCCAACCTGATTAAGCCTGGAGGTAGCAGTTTCCCTAAGGACAGAGGCAAGGTGGATGTTTCAGGAGAAACACAATACATTCCACTAAATTCCACTACTACTGTAAGTCTGGCCTGATTCTTGTGCATGGAATTGTTTTTGTCATGGAAACATTGATGAACATTACCTGCATAATGTAGGGTTAACCAGCTTCAAGACCCTGTGCATGATGTTTGTCGTCATGGATATATACACCGGATATTTTCAGATATTTTCTACGTGTGAAGTTGTGCTTTTGTAGATGTGACAAAATTAATACTCAGTGATTGCTTAATAACGATAACCGTTGAAGATTTCTAGTTTGTTTGCGTTTGAAGTCATACAAGTATAGCTGTTTATAAGTGCTACATGTTAGTGCACTAACAAACTCCCACATTTCTAAGGATACACAAATACAGAGCTGATATCAGACATGCATACCTCCATACAAGGCATGCTTCCTCTGTCCCCTCTGAAATGAAACTAACCACAGTGGATGCAGCATTTTGGAAAAATGAAGAATAATTTTGATGTGGTGTATTACTAACTTCCTCAAACTTAACACAATTGCCTGAACATTATAGCGTCGTCCTTCTGTACTAATATTTCTTTGACATTCGACATTCAATATCAAGTGAATTGTCTTCTTGAAAGTGAAAAAAAGGATGTTTCTGATGCATAACATCTCTCCCAGAGGAGGATATTTTTCATGCTCCTAATTTTGAGAAGCAGGATTCTTAAACAATAAATGGAGTATGCTTCTTATACATTTAATGATGATACCTGTCACATCTGGCCTCTCCCAAGTATATACTTCTTAGAACTTATCTATCACTTAGAGGAGGCCTTTCTCATAGGGGAAATGACCCTAATGTCAATCCATACTTAATTTCGATCACATTTTTGTTTTCTTGTTCATTCATGCACGACTCATAAAAAGGCTTCCATTGATATCAGGTTGGGTGCCTTCATTTTCGAAGTTTCGATGTGTTTAAATATAGATACACATTGGGAGTCATGAATATTTTTATCGTTTGATTTCATTGGCTGCTATTTCTGACTTCACCAAAAGTACACAGTAGAGATTTGAAGGCAGAGGTAGGACAAGATATGTGTCCATGACAACAATTATTAAACATATATCTGTCAATGTTTCATTATAAATTACAGGCATATGTTCATTTCATAGATTTCATTTGCAAAATATTGTTTATGAAATATTTGTTTTATTTTAAACTGACTGAAATAAAGGGCATGCAAATGACATTAATTTTCTTTATTTGCGTCTTCACACCACTCACGTGCACTATACTTAAATTCTCTTGGCAGAACAGTTTTTGGACCATTAGAAAACAATTACGATCAGATTTGTTCGGTAACATGGGTTCCGATTCTGTGGAATCTTCTAGTCATCCCGCCATCTGCTCTCTTCATCTGTGGCACAAGATGTTTTGTGCACAAACCTCTCCTGACCACCCATTAGTTTGGGTAACAACAACCTCCAACTTGAGAGCAGTTTTGATGAGCAGGAAACTATGTCAGCAGAATTGACCCTCGCTGCATTAAATTGAAGCGAGTTTACTGATGACAGCAATTAAGTCTGGAATTTCAAGATTCCAGATCAATTGGATGGAGTGGTTGACCTCCAAATACCTGAATTTATTCCGCAACCCTTAGAAAACAAGGAAAATTTACAAACAACTAGCATCTTGTCGCCCATTACTTTGAAATGGGACGGCAGCATAGATGAAATGTTTGAGGCATCGAGTGTTGGAGAAGTTAGTTCTAGTACCAAAAAAAGGTTATTACCTGAATCATTTTCTACTCACAGGTGACAAAATCATTTAAATGAAGAAAACAGAGGAACGAGTTAAGTGGAAAAGAGTCTAGGAATTTAAAAAAAGCAACTACAAAAGAAAACACTGTTAGTCTATGTAATACTTTCTTCTCCTTTAAACATGTTGACATATTATAATACGGTACCAAACCGGTCACTGTTCGTCTATGTAATACTTTCTTCACCTTCAAACATGTTGTCATATCATAATACGGTACCAAACAGGACACTGTTTGTCTATGTAATGCTTTCTTCTCCTTTAAACATGTTGACATATTATAATCCGGTACCAAACAGGACACTGTTTCTCTATGTAATACTTTCTTCTCCTTTAAACATGGTGTCATATTATAATACGGTACCAAACAGGACACTGTTTACCTATGTAATACTTTCTTCTCCTATAAACATGTTGACATATTATAATCCGGTACCAAACAGGACACTGTTTCTCTATGTAATACTTTCTTCTCCTTTAAACATGGTGTCATATTATAATACGGTACCAAACCGGTCACTGTTCGTCTATGTAATACTTTCTTCACCTTCAAACATGTTGTCATATCATAATACGGTACCAAAGAGGACACTGTTAGGCTATGTAATACTTTCTTCTCCTATAAACATGTTGACATATTATAATCCGGTACCAAACAGGACACTGTTTGTCTATGTAATGCTTTCTTCTCCTTCAAACATGTTGTCATATCATAATACGGTACCAAACAGGCAGGGATTGGTTAAAATAAAATACAATTTGTTTCGTAGCCACAATGTTCAATTTGATCGACAGATAACGGACTGGTTTGAAGTTGTTCATAATTAAACTGTAAACTCCAAATTGTTGTATAAAAAGTAACATGTTTGATTTGATATACATTTGTGTACAACATTTTTTAGTGAGATTAGTAAATGGGTCCAAGCAGAGGAAAACTTGTAGTTTGGGCGGAGACACAATTAATACTGCACTGTAATGACCTAGTACAGACATATTTAGATTTAAAACAGTCGAGTTATAGGCCATTTATTGTACATATATATAAAGCCTACTACACACCTCCCAGTAGGTCATTTCTAGCATTTTCATAGTTAAAAGTACACGAAGGAATCAAATTTGGTGCAGTGTGAATGAATTTAGGTATATTGATATATTTTCAATCAAACAAACATGTTTATTATTATTCAAGACAATCTGGCTCTTTGAAACCTGACAAAGACGCTTTATATGTGAGCCCAGTAGCTATGGTATAAATACTGAGGTGTACAAAATATGGGTTATTTCCTGTAAGCTACCTAGTTTCTCTTCTAAAGCATGCTTCATGGATGTAGAATAGATTATCAACCCACAGTCAGCATGGTCCTAGGAATGTATGCATTAATATTGGATGAAAGGCCTAAATGTCAAACAAGATTTACATTTATAACTAAGCATGTTGAGAGGACATTTCCTGTAAGAGTTGTGTTTTCATTGTATCCTACATGTTAATGTCCTAATTAATCTAGAAGCATATAACCCATAATAACAAGGGTATAATATATCTCTCCTGTATGATGGAGACTGTCAATATAGGTGATTGCTAATACTGTATTTATGAAAAACTACTGTGGAATTCTTGTGTTTTGCCTGAAGTGGCACAGGGATCCTTAAATATTCACTCAGTATTAACATGCAGGGATGTTACATAATGTACTTTATCTATACATGACTATTGTAATATACTTAAATGCTAATTTTGGCTTTTTGAAAATAACTGAAACTGAAATATTTGTCATTATTGAAGTGAGCATAATTTTTTCTTTGTCTTGGACATTTTTCTTCAACCTGCCAATAACCTACAAAGATAACTATTAATCATCAGAAATATTTACAAACATTGCCAAAATTAAATAGATGTATTAAAGTCACATTTAGAAAATAATTCTGCGTCGTTACAGCACACCACTCCACGACAGGGCATAACGGATGAGATCATCCACGAGGTGCCATTCTCTGGTGATGGGACAGGCTGTCCAACTGATGACGAGGACGATTGTACTTCTGTATCATCAGGTTCTGACGATGACATCATAACACCTGTGGTCAAGATCACCACTACTCCAAAACCACCCACTACACCATCTAGGTTTGTACCCTGAAACCAACCTTCACACAGTCTATAGGTATATGATATGTAACCCAAAACCACCCTCCATGCCGTCTAGGTATGTACCGCGTTCTATGTGGGTACACCAAACATTGCTCTCCACACATTTAAGAATATATACTCCAAAAATGCTCTCTACACAATAAAAGTTTATGTATCCCAAATCTGTTGTATTCCCACAAGTTTTGCATATACATGTAACCCAAAATCTGCCTTCCATACACTGAAGATGAATATATCAAACAAACTCAACACATTCTAATAACATGTATGGACCTCAGCACGTTTCCAAATGGAAATATCCCGCTCACGATGGTACTTTTGTATTTAGGCAATTGGGTTTTGGGTTTTTTTCAAAGTAAAAAATATGTATATTCATGATAGTTATTTTCACTGGGTTTTTAATTTTGCACTATATTTGGTAACCATGAAGATAGCAAAGTTAAATCCCCTGCAAAAATTACCAACTGTGCAGTATGTTTATCCAACATTTTTGATTGTCCAATGATACTGTGCTGTCAAGTATATAGGTATTAACACTGTCCAATGAAACGGTGCTGTCAAGTATATAAGTATTAACACTGTCCAATGATACTGTGCTGTCAAGTATATAGGTATTAACGCTGTCCAATGATATTGTGCTGTCAAGTATATAGGTATTAACACTGTCCAATGATACTGTGCTGTCAAGTATATACATATTAACACTGTCCAATGATACTGTGCTGTCAAGTATATAGGTATTAACACTGTCCAATGATACTGTGCTGTCACGTATATAGGTATTAACACTGTCCAATGATACTGTGCAGTCAAGTATATAGGTATTAACACTGTCCAATAATACTGTGCTGTCAAGTATATAGGTATTAACACTGTCCAATGATACTATGCTGTCTAGTATATAGGTATTAACACTGTCCAATGATACTGTGCTGTCAAGTATATAGGTATTAACAGATGTATTCTCTTTTGTTTTCAGTGGAGACACAATGTGTGACAATGGCAAAGACATAAGTTGTCAGAGTATATATTTAATCAATGAGTCTACAACAACAGAGAAAAAAGATAAAGGCATCATTGATCTGGGTTCGGGGGATCAGAACAATCCAACAGGAGGTCAAGTGGAGTCGGAACTCACTCCACACAATATAGGACTTATCATCGGAATCATTGCAGTTGTCATTATTGCACTGATCATTCTCATTATTGCCCTGTACAAATTTCACCGACGAGACGAAGGGACGTATAAAGTGGATGAAACACAAAACTTTGCATATTTAGAATCTAAGAAACAGAATGGAAATGGAGCATTATTAGGACCTGTCCCAGGGAATGGGAAAATGGCTAAAAAAAAGGATGTGAAGGAGTGGTATGTGTGACCAGCTGTGATATTTGTGAAGGTTGTGTATTGTTTAGAGAGTATTCTATTATTGGAACTGGGTTGGAGGGTATTAATGAGCCAGGGTGGAGGGAGTGTTAAAAGGATTACATATCAATAAAGAGGTTGGCAGAAATCAAGGGAAAAATGGAAAAATGTCTCTTCTGAATCTATTTTAGAATAAGATTATCATTGGTCAACATGAAATGAAACCTTTTTTTGCGATCATCATGTAAAAATGCAAGAAGAAAGAGAAAGAAAACCTTATAGGAATATAACATTGCTTATAGTTCTTAAAAATAATACAAAAACAAGAAAATACAGTGGATCTTGAAGCTATGGCCGTCCTGGTGCTGTATATGTTTCCATGGTGATCTGTTATGCACCGAGGCCAATCAACAAACTGATCTCCTTGTGGTGCTGTGGATTAGAGCTGAAGTGACAATGGACACTGGGCATCCTTGTGGAAACAGGACATCTTCGTGGACATTACATAGTGTGTCTTCATAGATACTGGACAGTTTGTCATTCAGGATTAGAGCTGAAGTGACAACGGGACACTGGACATCCTTGTGGAAACTGGACATCTTCGTGGACATTACATAGTGTGTCTCCATAGATACTGGACAGTTGTCAATCAACGTCTTAACTCACCGACATAAATGTGGCTCTTTATTGCTGAAACAGACCTCAGTAATCCAGCAGAAGTAAGTCAAGTTGACCTTGAAATGACATTGTGACCTTGATATTCAGTCACATCTCAACTCAAGGTCAAGGCTGTTGTTATGTGTTATTATGGACTGATGACCAGCCAAGCAACACATTTAGTGATGGAGTATAATAATCATCCTGTAACGTTGTGGTTGGTGGAGTGAAGATCACACAAAGTGTTGATCAGGACCGTACACAAAGTGTTGATCAGGACCGTACACAAAGTGTTGACCAGGACCGTACACAAAGTGTTGATCAGGACCGTACACAAAGTGTTGACCAGGACCGTACACAAAGTGTTGACCAGGACCGTACACAAACTTGTCATGTGCTCACACTCAATCGAATGTATGACAAATGTTGGTCTTTGGACAATCTCCAGATGAACATGTGGTTTCTTCCATAAATTGACCTTTGAGTATAAAAGGTCAATAGCTGTATTCAGAGTACACCTGTGTTTGAATTGTTCAAGGACAAGTCACCAATGACATTACAGGATAAGGGTCATGTGTTGACCTTTAAAAGACAAAGGTCAGTGAATGACCCCAGAAAACAAACTGCACGGATGATCTTTAAAAACAAGATCAGTCTGAACTAATTGTTTATGTGTTAGAGTGGTATGAAAGGCCAAGGTTCTATATTTTGTACAGATTGGACCCAGATGACACATTCAGAAATAGATTATATAGGTCACACAGACCCACTCATCCTGTCACCCCTTCTCACTACATTAAACTCACCCTGGTTAATTAATTGCTGGATATAATGTAATTTAATGGACAGAAGGATATTTTTAATTATAGCCATATTAATTTATCCATTCAAGACGTCAATGTCATTTTTTGACATCAGACATTAAAAGTTACATATTTACCTTAGATACTGAGGTTACCAACTGACCTCTGAAGAAAACCACTAAGATATAGGAAGTCTGATTTGATTGATTACTTATATAATTAATGCAGACAAGAATAGAAGCTTGAAATATTTTGAAAAGTAATTTATCTCAGAAATAAAACCTGCAAGCTCATCATGTTAAGATTGTTTAGCTTGTCATTATTTGGGATTTGTGTCTAAAGAAACGTTCTATAACCTACTTATTTCTCATCGATGAGTGTTAATTGAAAGAAATTAAATAGCCCTTTCACAATCGACCAACTGAGTGTGCCTTTCTCCAAGAGGCGACAGGTGCCGAGTTGTTGTTGTATGTGCCTATTGATAATAGCATGGTCTCAGAAAGTTCAGCAAGCTATTGGTACTGATCAAAATTGTACGAACAGAAGTGATGCTAAAACATCCTGTCCTAACAGTGAGTTATTTATATTAACAATAAAGTATATATATATATGTACAGACAATAAAGTAAATATGTTTCAACAGTGGAGTACATATAGATATATATTGTAACAGTGATATATATATAGATATATGTACTTTGGTAATTTGATGAAGAATCTTTGATTTTCCAGTCTGTCTTTGTACTTACAAACCTATGCTTTCTCTGCTTTAAATTCAATGGTTGACATCACCGGCTTGATGTGTTCTGGTGTTTGATCAAGGGAGAGCACCCTTACTTGCCAAACTACACGGTATATGAAATCCCATTAAAATGTGTACTCATCAGGTCCCTGTATTTTGTTGTACCGATTTGAACCCATCAACATTTTTATGTTCGTCTTCTACAAACATTGTAAATACCATTAGATACGGAGTGAAAGTGATATATTGGTTTCTATAATATGAACAATTCCTTTGGTTTTGATCATGCGGGACCATACAACATTTTGTTTTGTATATTAGGGACCATTCATCCTATTAATAGTGACATTTTGTTGTGGATATTGAATTGTTAAAACAGCTTTGTAAGTGAGCTTCCTGTTGTTGAAGATTTGTCCATTAAGTCCAGGAAATGGTTTGAATTAACTTGATTATTTTTTAAATGTATTTTGCATTAAGATTTTGATTTATTTTTTCTTCTTAAGAATTGAGATTACTTCTAAAACCCTCTCCTCTGTCACGTTATCTTTGTCAGTGATTATTTTATTCACATACATCCGAGTATCCAGTTTGGTATGGTAACTCATTCACCCCTGAAATTTCACAATGAACTATTCCAACTTTTGAATTAAAAGGGTTCAAATGTGTCTTCAGGGATGAATGAGTTAATATACATTACTGTTCACATTAGTCGGTCCTCAAGTGTAAGCTACCAGATTTAGCTAAACTACTTAGCATGATACTTGAGGAATTATTCATAGTGATAGAAGGAGTACCAAACTTTCTTACTGGAACCACTTAACCAAACACACAAATCAGCTTCAGAAATAGGTATCTTTTAACTTAAATCTATTAATTGTATGCTTTCCCTGTCCATTGTTAGTTTGTTTTAGTATTGGTATGTGTGTAGATGTGATATACAATTGGACTTAAAGCTTCATGACTCCAGAGAGAAGAGGATCAAATTCTGGTTCCTGTAGTCATAGTCTGGAGATAACTGAAATTGTCTATATTTTTCAGAGATCAGTACTTTGCAGAATCGAAAAAATACATCGTAATTGTATAACTAACATCACATTATAGCTGAATAATTACAAAAATACATTGTAGATTCTATACTAACACCTACCATTTGATATTTAACTCATTTACTCCTGAATACACATTTGAACTCTTTCAATTGAAAGGTTGGAATAGCCTATTATGAAATTTCAGGGGTAACCAAGATAACAGAACCAGTATTTTTCTGAAAAATCTGAAAATGCATTAATTTAAAAAGAAATACGATATATCAGGAAAAAATGATGACAGATTCCCTTATTTACTGCTGTTATGTCTAACAGACTACGGGTCATTTAAGTGTATTGTTTTTGATGTTACAAATACTGTCTAGTTAGTCAAAGAAAGGTTTTATCATTACATATTGTAAAGACTAGCTGGTATATAGAGACATGTTTGGAGACAACCCTGACTCCAGCTCAATACATACATGTTGAACTATTGTATAGTTTTACTCAAGCATTTTATCATTTACACTTTGCACAAGTAATTCAGCATATTGTGGATGAAATGTCAAGTCTGTAAATAAGTTCACTAACAATATATTTTCAGTATTTTATATCCTATTATTTACTTTTAAGTTCATTTGAATTATGGTGTAGTCACTAATAATGTTGAACTCGTAAAGCAAGAACCATTCCTGCTAAGTGTTAAATCATCTTTTATTTTCTGTTTGTTTCGATGGAGGTTCCTTGTGATAATATTTACATAACCATATGTAGATTATAGTAATACAAATCTGTGACCTGGTATTGACCTCTAACCTGTATCAAGGTCAGATCTATTTACCTGTGTAATGTGTGTCAAGGTCGATCATGGTAACCTTTAATTTGTGTCAATAACATTGACCGTTTATGTGTGTTAAGGTCATTCATATTGACCATTAATGTGTTTCAAGGTCAATCATATTGACTGTTTAATGTGAGTCAAGGTTAGTCTTGTTGACCTTTTAATGTGTGTCAAGGTCGTCCATATCTCGTTCTATAGCTGTCATGACAACAGTGAAATATGTCATCAGCAATGTTATATTGTTTACTGCCTAGGACATTGTTGAGCAGTGTTGTCTGATGCAGTGTTCTCATATCATTTGTCTGAATGTTGAGTTGAGATATACAGAACGTATTTTTATTTGTCCCTCTCGATAAACATTGTATCTGCTTTGGAGTTGACATACCTGTTCCCTTATCACAGGCGCTTTCTCCCCACATTCTAAGTCCTTGATACAGATATAATACACACAGGGACGTATGTTCAATGGTGGTTTTCCTCTTATATCTTTACAATGGATTGATATGTATTCTAAAATCTTAGTTCCCGAATCCCTGTGATCACACAACGTTCTTGTAGTGTCTATTAAAACGATAATACGATACGTATAAAATTCATTTCATGTATATTTTGTTTGTACAGACTAAATGAAATGTCAGGGAGTGGAGAGAGTGAGAGCGGGAAGTGGAATAGCGTGTGAATGCTGATTGGATGGGTAACTGTTGCGAGTCAGCGGCGTCATAGATCACGCCTCATGCGATCTTTCATTTTTATAAAGACCTCGGTAGCAGTGTCGAAGTCCTCTGTTAACATCGCCGGGCATGCGTGATTGTATGTGTGTTGCCAATTTTTATCATGATAACAAAATATGTTTTCATTTGTTTCTAAGCTTTAACATGAACAGTTGTAGTATAGGAATAAATGTTTTAATACGAAATAAAAATAGCGCGTTTGTTGTTCTTTAAAACACCTTCGTTTAATGACATATATATACAGTTGTTACACTTGTGAAGCTATGTATGTATGGCTATCTAGAGAATAACTAACAAAGATAAATAGCAGAGCAACACTACAGACAAAACAATGTCGGTATTGATTAAAACAGGTTTTTTTCCACGTTAACCTCAACATCAATCAGTTCTTTGTCTTGTATTGTTTCCCATCAAACAAGAGTTGATATAAAAGGAATAAAGAAGACATCAAAAGGAAAGGCATAACGAAAACTCAAAAACGGTGAAAAAGGCAGATGCACTAGCAAGGTAAACGTGCACTGCACCACCTACATGCCTCTCCATCAAGACAATCGGCATACGTCAGGACCATGTGTCGGCCACCATGGAGCCAAGCCACAATCAACGAGTATTTAAGTATTTTTATCCATATGTTGTTGAGCGCTTTTGAGTAATTTTACAAATGATAAAGGGTGCTGTAAAGATGTATATTATTATTATTATTATAAGTATTGTAAACACCGATCATGATCACCATGTAACTTGTTCTCTCGTAGAACCACTGTTTAATTATCAAAGTCATCCCAATACTTCAGGAATATCGAATCAGCTGTGACATGTAAAGTAACGGTAGAGACAGACATTAAGTTAAAGTAAAAACAATATTTCTAAATCACGGTCATAAAAGGTTATAACGGGCAAACACGATTGGGACATTGGTCGTGTCGAAATAGACACATAAGCGAAAGGAAGATAATAACAGATTTATTTAGTGTGCATGTCTTGCAATCTGATACAGCAGGACTTCATCTGAGCTTTGTGTGACCCAATGGTTACGAATGTCATCTATTTTTGTTGGTAAAACTAGACTTTCTTTGACCTTGTTGCCGGCTCATTAGGAATGCCATGCGATCTGGTACAACGGGACCTCGTCTTGGGGTATGATAGGATGAAAGTAATTCTTCTTGTCCTAAACTGTATCAGGTATCGTTGCTGAAGGAATGCAATGTAGTACAATCTATATAATCAAAAGAGGTAAACGTAAATATATTGATTTTGTTTTGCTTCCAAATAATGCCATTCTTAAAACGTTTAACATGGCTCAGTTCAAATAAATAACTACAATAATTGATCATCTGTAGACTACGCCATTACCGTAATCATCAGTCAGAGTCCATCATTTAACAGTATACGGTATCAGGAACAAATGTAAAATATACAGAAGATCATCAAGAAAAATTAGAAGTTAGGACGAACCTACTTAAGAATTAAATGTACCATATATCGTTTATGATTCAACAGTAGTACTTAAGATCAAAACATTTACACGCAAACACGACAGGAGTCTGTAAAAGCCTTTATAAGTTATCTGTAATCTTGTGATGTAATGCTTTTACTTCATCAAGTCAAATAGACACTATAGTGCAAGTCCCGGCTGTTTTAAAGTGGGGACGTCAATCGCTTCATTTAACTTCTTATCGAACATATTAATTATTTGCATATCTAAACTGAACATATGTTAAAGGAGGTCGCCATCAACATTTAGTAGCATATATGACGACATATCAGAAACCTCTTCATCTTATTAAAGTATGAACGTTTGGTGGACCATTTGTATGTTTTGGTAAGTCAGGAACAGACATTCAGGTTTGTCAGGTACATCGTTGACTTCGTACCGTAGATAGGATATATACAGGGCTAGGACTTTACATGTAGGTTGATCAGTGTCAACACGAACACTGGTCCAGGAATAGGAACACACGTAGGGCAAAAGTTCCGTCCGAAAACAACTTCCCTATATAGAATCAGCTTATCTGATAAAAAATGTGACATTTTATATGTAAGTCAACTCCACTGTCAGACGTTTGAATGACTTTTGTACCATATAGTTTAAGTGACCCTAGTGCGCGTGACCTTAATATACAGCTCGGTCAAAGAGATACATGTACACAGATATAATGTACAGTACTATATAGCTAGGAACATGTTTCCTTACTGAACATAAAACGACTGGGCATCATTAATATGCTAAGACGACCATTTTCATAAGAATATCACTAAGTTAAAAATAGATCACCTTCTTTTGCTCTATTATGAAATAATAAGATAATTTGGATGTAGTGTAGTTTTTTAACTAGATCTACTTAGTCTTATACTTGATCTTTTATATTAAACAACGTAAAATGTGTTTCTGAAGCTCTATAAGGAATTGAATTAGCTTAAAAGTTTATAGTTGACACTCGCAGTGTGGGTAAAAAGTTAAATTTTCGACAAAAGATACGAAATTTAGATATTCCCCAATTTTGCTCAAATTTGTTCGTCAGGTGAACCATGGTACAAGGGGTACCGTGAACACTACTGGAGAGTTCGTTTTGTGATTTGACCAAATGACCTCCATACAATGGCTTCTAATGCGAGTGATGGTTGAAATTTAGACATTCACCGAATTCAGTCACATTTTGTGTGTAGGTGTACCATGGTACTGCGAAATCTACTGCAGAGTTCCTTTTTTGTCTGGATGAAATGGCTGCCATATACTATGGCTTCTGATTGGTTGAAATTAAGATAATGGCTGATTTTACTCAAATTTTGTATGAAGGAATACCATGGTATTGCCATCATTTGCTGATGCATCATTTATTCTAGGGGTGGTGTGAGGGAATTCTGTAATGTTCTCCAAAAGATTCAAAATTTGATAGTAATCTGCATTTCTTCTTCTTTATAATTTTACCAGACCTTCTTTTGTGGCATAGAAGATTACCTGGAGTGCGTACTTTACTTACTTACTGCCCTGTACGCCATGTACGCTGGAGTGCGTGGGGGATGCAAAATTAGTTAAAAGAATTTCATTTTTTTTTATTTTTTTTTATTTAACATTAAACTATATACAGTATTTTTTACAGTAGTTAAATACAAATACAGGTGTCTAAGATTCAATGCGAGCTATATTATTAGTTCTACTGACCGGCTTCGTGTAGAACTGAATACCTGGTACACGAAGTTTCCAAATGTACGATAAGACCTCAACCCCTGGCGGTAAATGTTTCCATGAGTACGTTTGGGACCAATGAATGATTCCCGTTAGTATGGGGCACGCCTTAATGGAGTGTCCCAAATTTGTGACGAGTTTCACTACACCATCTGCAGACTTTCACATAGACTAACAAAGAAAAAGTGACCTTGTCGTGTCAGGGGGATAAATTGGATCGAATACTCCAGTATGAGCACGTTTACACTAACTTAACGTATCAAAGTCATCAACGAAATAAACCAAAATACCATTTTCTTATCGCGGCAAACAAGAAAATAAGAAGTCGATGTATTTTTTATATTTTGCTCGATTAAAACGGAGATGTCTTCCTTTGTCAATAGGTGTAAAATTTACATCAATCATAAATTTACATACATACATATACAGCAGTCTGTTAACAGTTTCACATCTCACAGACAAATACACTCAATGTTATATCCTCACCCATATTAAACAGTCATCTTTCGTCAAGTTGATATTTTGTCTCTTTATCACGTTTTTAATGATATAATGACCATCGAACTATGGTCCAGAACAGATGGAATTTCTTAAAAAAGACACTACGTAACTATATTAACCTACGAAATACAACAGGCATAGCTTCTGGATGTTGGTTATAGTGTTTGTTGGTGTATATAGAATCTACAAAGGGTGAAAAATATGCTTTACAATACATATTGTTTTAACAAGAGTCACCAAAGAGGGAAAAACTGAGAGTTTTATGAATTAATAGGAATCATTGTTATATGAATGTGAACCAATAGGACTTGTTGGTATTTGGAATGTGAGCTAATAAGGCTTATTATTAAATGAAATGTGAACTAATAAGGCTTGTTGTTATATACAATGTGAATGTCAAAAAGAAATATTCAGTTATCGTTGGAGTACCTTGTTCTCCAACAACTCATCTGCTATTAAAATTCGGTATCCATTTTATTATTATCATCTTTAATTGGTCAAAGAACCTTAGTAACAACAGTCGCTTCATTGTACATGTTGCAAATTCTTACCCCTTCACGGATCAATATTTGAAACTGTCTGTACGTTGACAGCCCTCTGGACTCTGTGGCGCTGCGAGTGTAGGGTAAGGTCGTGTAACACTACTGACCATATCTATCCACCTTCGTCCGTGACCAGATGTCCTGACATAGATCTGACCTCTAACTCATGTGACGTGAAAGCACGTTCAGCACCGATCTGACCTTATAGGATAATGTCATATAAGTATAGGAACGTTTTGTTTTTGGAGCTTCACATTAACTGGGAACAATGCTGTCTCTAATACTCACCTGTATCGTTCTTATTGGTGTTGGATTGGAAACAGAGGCAGTCTATACTACAGGTAAGGTTTAAAAATCATTTATAAAGCATTAACACGTGCGTTTTCTTTACATGCATTGGCCGAAACATTTCCAATATGCAAAAAAATATCTTATACATTCTTTAAATAGAACATTAAGACGTGACTGCTGACACACATATAATATCTATGAATGAATATTTACTGTAGATCCTGTATTTCTAAATAGTATTTCAGAAAATTCCAGTGCAAAGGCGTTCATAACTAGTTTTACTTCTTTTGATTCCAAATCGGTCAGTATGGAAGGTCATTACGCATTCATTGAATTATTACCAATATCATGTTTGTAGTCATTTAATTTATCAAAACTTTCTACATCTTACAATTGCTTCATCGACCTCGTTTTTTTAATAGTTTATTTTAAACCCACTGGTCAGACCGTTTAATTGTAGAACAAGAGGACGTCTTATCAGCACGAGAACAGTTCAATATGTCCTTTGTAAAGTATTTACGTACACTTTGTTCGCCTTCAGGCTGAATATTTGATACTATGACCCTTTCTGAATAAACATGTTGAAACAATTATATCATGTTCAGCATGAGATACTTGAGAAAAATACTGCAAAACTCTAGAGTGTTGTTTTGTTCGTCAGCAGTCGACATCTATCAGGGAAATCACGTTCTTCAGAGAAAACTCTTGAATATCAAATCAAACGCGTCGGGAAAACACGGTAGATTAGGAATGTTACTATCAAGAGAGGGAAAGTTCACGACCGAAAAATCAAATCGTCTTGCTAAAGTAAAGGCCGAGGAGAGCAGGTGAAGTAGGATAGCCAAGAATGTAGGGACCAAGTTCTGGAGGATATATGTACGATCGACGTGGTTAAATGTATGCCATTTTGATAAGCTAGCTGTATCAGTTTTGATTAGAATATTTGCAAGCTTGAAATGTCTACCTGACTGGTTTAAAACAATACTACCCAATTAATACATTATAACGCTACATGTGCCTTCAGAATGTGGCCTCCTTCCTGCCGACTTCATTTTCCTGCTTGATTCCTCTGGAAGTGAAACAAGCGTTAACTTTCTGAAGCAAGTAGGCTTCCTCCGGAACTTCACTTCCCGGTTCACCATCGGTCCGAACAATACCCAGTTTGCATCTGTCACCTTCTCCACTGGAGTACGGGATGACTTCGACCTCAACGAAAATCAGGGTCAGCAGGAGTTACAAAATGCTATTAACAAGATCAGCTACATGAATGGTGAAACTGAAACTCACCTCGCCCTCAACTTCGCACAACAACACAGTATTTCTGGTGAGTGACCAAACAGTTATATTTACAACATAAATATGCAATCACTTGATCAATAGTCTCTTTGTGAACACTTAAGTGTAATTAAGGGTATTTGAAAACATCGTTATTTATGCTTCTAATTGTCTTAATAACACACGTGCAGCTAACACGACAAAATTCATGACAATATTGCTAGCTGAGTTCAAATACTGGTCTTGGTACATGAATAAAACGTGCGATTGTTATTTTAGGTACACCGAATAAACAGTTCAAAATGTGTTGTGCCGATAATAATCACTATGAAAAGGCGGTTTACAAATAATCTAAGGTCCGTGTATATTGGAATTCAGGGGTATAATTTGCTTATGCACGGCGTGTTTATATAAAACCACTTATTGTTCACATGTCAAGTCATTTGAAGTGTCTTCGGAATAATTAGACTAGTTCATGTAAACATTTGCACATTTGCAATTCTTTTCTTGAATAACAATACTTATATTTATTTTAATTCCAACCGCGAAAATTTGTTGTTTTGAATATTAAGTACTTTGTTGAAATAGGTAGGATTAATCAATATTAGTCTAATAAATCAATGTTCAATATTTAAACATTTGTAGCTCAATTCGGAGGAAGACCAGGTGTTCAGAAGTATGTGGTTGTAATGACGGACGGAAAGTCGAACGAGCCAAGTTTGACGGTTAACTACGCCAACGCCCTCAAACACCAGCCAAACGTGACGATCATAGCCCTGGGGATAGGTAGTGCTGTGGATAATGCCGAACTACAGGCCATAGCATCGGACGGCAAACACGTGTTCACCGTTAGTAACTTTGACCTGCTGCACGTTCTTGAGAAGGAACTCACAGATACTACATGCACAGGTAAACAGATACATATATACACTGTATTTGATTGTTCTCATTTCATGATTGAAAATGATAGATAACTGATAAAAAATATCTATTTGTATCTTTTCAGTTTGATTGAATGAACGCCTGTTATTGTTTCATCACAACAGCTATGTTCGTCATTATTTATCAGGATGTTTAAATTTTTCTACTTCTGAATAAAAGACTTTTATCCAATCATAAGATGAGATTTAGTTTATCGGTAAATGCTACATTGAATAAATTTATTTAGAAATTTGCTTTTTTTATGCAATGCTAATCAAAACGCTTACAGATATTATCGAGTAGTAAAATATATGAACATCAACGAGGAATACATTGTTTTTGTGTTAGCGAATCAAAGGTATGCCAGATACTGCTTAATACTTAATAATAATACTTGAAAAATGATAACAGTAACGCGCCGATATCACCACTGAAATACAATTGACACAAGACAGATTGATAATAGATCAATGTCTGCAAGTTTATATAGCACTTTATGATGTTTTTATGACTTGTGGGATATACTCTCGTTCATCTTAATCAGACAAATTACCGGTAAAGCGTATGTATACTAAAGTGTATAATGTTTATGTGTTGGCAATTAAATCGCGGTCGATTTGATTTATTTAAGCGAATGAACGATACTTGTTATAGTTGTACAATAAGGCAATGTGGTCATAGATGAGCGAGGATCTTTGAACCCCCTCATCTAGATTCAGAATTGAATCGCTGCGGCATGTCCAGATAACTTCCTTTCTTGCCGGTTGGATAGGTTGATCTCTCTGTCCAACACTTTAAGTTATCTCAGTCATTAGTATGATTTCGCTTTGTTGCATGATTGCCTATAATTATTAACTAAATGTCCATACGATAAAAATATGTGACATGAAAATGATCTTTTTTAAGTGTGTGGGGATGAGCCAACTGACCTGGTGTTTTTGTTGGATTCCTCTGGCAGTGAGGGTGGTCGCAATTTCCAGCAGCAGGTCCAGTTCGTGTCTCTCGTGGTCAACGAGTTCGACATCAATCCGACAGGCACACAAGTTGGTCTGGCTACATTTGCAACCATTGGAAGGCTCCAAATCAGACTGCAACAGTACCCAGATAAAACTTCTCTCCTGAATGCAATTCAACACGTCCCTTACACTGATGGCGAGACCAGAACTGATCTTGGCCTACATATAGTCGAGCACAGCATTTTTAAAGGTCATTCACACCACGCCGGTGCTAGAAATGGAGCAAAGAGGTTTGTTGTTGTTTTAACAGATGGCAGATCTAATGAGGAAGATCTTACTGTGAGTGCAGCCGCATCACTCAAGCATCATGTTGACGAAGTGTTCGTCATTGGGATCGGAAACAGTGTTGACCAAACCGAACTTAAAGCCATAGCAACCGATGATGGACAGCATGTCTTTAATGTGAAACACTTTCATGATCTTGACAGTATCCATGGTAACATCGTAAAGGAAATATGCGAACGTAAGTTGCCGCGAGACAGCAGACGAAAATTAAAAAGAAACTATACAGTTTAATGACATAACGGCTGCGATCGTTATACCAAAAGTTGTCATTTTCCGTTATACAACATATACATGAGTGTGGACATATCCAATTGCGTACTTCATTATGCAAAAAACAACTTACTTGACGCAACCTTTATTTTTTCTTTTTGTCTTAACAGGGATTTAAAGCTGGAGTTCCTAGATCACAGGACTATAAATTAGAGCATAATGTAAAATTTCACAATCAATAACTGCAAGAATCTTAACTTTGCTTTTATCTCTATATGGTAATATAAACATGTGAACACGCAAAGTAATAATAAAAGCATACACTTTGTGAAAGATAATTATATCGTACAGATTGGATTCATAACGTATATGTTTTAGTGGAATGTAGCTAATTTATTTCTTTGTGTATACTGCTGGCGTACTGCACTTGACACCGCTACAAAAATGGGCAGAATATAAATTAGAAACATGTAATTTACTTTATCAGAAGTGGATTTCTTTGCAGTCTTAACTATTATAACTTCGACACTAAATTAGAATATAAGAGTCTCCTAGCAATCCATCCGATTTGTTTTAGACCACGTACTAACTGGCCGATAGCTGGGGGTCAGAGACATGTAAATAAGATAATGGTAATCTTATTTGTGAATTAATTTTATTTTTATTTCTTTATCAGATCGGATTCCACCTCCTACTACAACACGTAAGTACATATATACTTCGTTCTCAATTCAGGAACAGAAACAAATTGTTTCCAAAAGTAGAGATCAATATGTGCGTTTGGAAAAGTGTTACGAAATGAAAATCATTTAAATTGTGTAATAATAATATAACTTCGGTTGATAAGTGTTGATTTCGTTGTTTATCACAACTTTTTATTTATATAATAAGCCCTTTAATCCACACACCGATAGCACGATACTCTGATAGCTAAGGACTCTGATGATCCGTATATAATAGGCTTGGTCTCTGATTATCTTGAACTTATTCTTCAAACGGCTATATTCCAACTCTGAATTGATTACATGACAATTGATGGTTCTTGAACCATGGACATTTTTATTCACAAATTGTCCATAATAAATTGAGAGTCAGAATTTTTGTAAACGTAATTGTCTTGTAGCAAACAACTTGCCGTTTTATTGACAGTAACAATTCCACGCTGGTGATATTTATATGTGTCTTACTTTCTTTCCTGAAGCTGTTCCCACTACTGTGACCACAACACCCACAACCACCACCACAGTTAAACCAGGTACTTAATTAATAACATTGATATCTCCCCTTCAGGAATGGGCAAAGAATGGTCAAATTTCCTATATTAGTACTTCTAGAGCTATTGTTAGCAACAGTAAAAAACACAACAATTATACCATGTACGCCATGGCAACGAATGAAAACCAATGCAGAGAGGGCAACGGATGAAATGAAGAGTATATGCTTACAATGGTATTTGAAAAGAGACTCTTGAACAAATTTACATATCAATATGAGTACATTGCAATTTTTCTGCTTTGATCCTTTCAGATTGCGGCCCGAGACCAGCCGACATTGTTTTCGTGCTCGATTCATCCGAAAGTGAAAAACAAGAGAATTTTACGAAGCAAATTAATTTTGTCTTCAACTTTGCCAAACGATTTGAAATTGGTCCAAAGAATGTCCAGTTCAGTACTGTAACGTTTTCGTCTGAAATCAGGAACGACTTTTACCTCAATACGTACCATCACCGAGGTGACGTCCTTCACGCTATCCAAAACCTCAAGTACATGGGAGCCGGAACCAACACATCTCTGGCTTTAAAATTCGTACGCCAGAACAGTTTTCTTCCCGCGCACGGAGGACGACAGAACGCTTCCCACATTGTGATTGTTATCACCGACGGACAGTCTGCTGATCCAACAAGTACTGCGCACGAAGCTTCTTCCCTGAAACACGCAGTGGACAAAGTGTTTGCTATCGGTATTGGTGATACATTAGACACGAACGAACTATCAGCCATAGCAAGTGACCACAATCCTCTGACCGTCACAAACTTCGATCTCCTACATACCATACAGCAAAGCCTCGAAAACGCTGCATGTCAATCTTAAATATCCTTGACGATGAATGTTCTATCATGTATGTGTGTGGCTCTGTTTTATGTTCAATCACAACCACAATTTTCCTATAAAATTCATGACAAAATTGAAAAGCAAAGTGTCTTCTCTTCACTTTTTTTGAGACTTAATAACAACATATTCATTACATAAGAATTGTGTTGCCCTTAGCAAACATTGAGGAAAGGATATACTTGTAACAAGAAAAAAGAAAATCCGCTCAATATCATGTCCTGAGCTGAATGGGAATAAATGCTGTCAACTATGAGCTTTATTGCTGTTATCAATTCTGAGCACAAAAACATACAGTGTTAAATAACCTAATGCTAAAAGGTACACATAAAATCAATGGAAACAACTAGCTTATGTGTCAATAAACACATAAAATAAGATAAATTAAATTCGAACTTTTGTATACATGCAGTCATACATTTTAATACCAAACTCGGGTATGGATGCAATCAAACAGTTTGAACTGAAGTATACGTAGAATCAAATCATGAAACTCTGAACTCGAGTACAGATGCAATCAAATGCCTCTATGTCTGAATCATACACTCTTTATAAATACTTAACGTTTAAATGGCTTAAACTGTAATCCTAAACTGAACTCGATTTGGTTTTAAATTAAGAAGCCCACATAGTCCCATTCATCATGTTTATGCCAGTTTAAGTGCTGATTTATTTTTATTTTGATACATGTAATATTACAGGGGTTATTCATTATACAAAAATATTACCCATGGCCACCGTACGCTACTGTACACTGCTACCTATATAAGAGGAAAAGAATAAAAATAAGCTGATGAATTCATCCTAATAAATATACTAGCTTTAGAAAATTACAACTTGGTAAAAGAACATTGCATGTATGATTATAAAACCTTGCATAAGGCTAGTACTGTACCTATTATTTATGTGTATGTACTTTGTGTCCGTGACTAGAAAGAGGAGCCCTATCTGCGTACACAAAAAGATATTTTGACATGGAATATAAGACTTTCTGAAAAAATGAATCGTAATATCTATCTATTCATAATTTCTTTTGCATTCCTAAGTAGGAAAATTATTGTCAATCCAACTTTTTACACCATCGATGCAAGGGCTATAACTCTGTGTATAACGAAACCTGATTACAATACGCGACGCCATGGGACACGCACATACCACACATGACAATTGTAGGGGGAAAAGTTTAAAAGACAACATAACACATGATTGGACGGGCTGTAAATTATGAAACGATATGATTAAAAACCTTTCATTTAAATTTTGTCCGGAATATGTTAACAGAAAGACCTTCCAAACACAGGAACTTCGATTGTTATACCATATTGTAGCATCAAGTGTTTCGATGGGAGATCACTTAAAAAAAATAACACCAAAGACAAGTTCAAAAGTAAAGGCATTTTTGTGTCTTCTAAAATTGTGCGTTTGCGAATGAAAAACATATGAAAGCAGCCTCCAAAACATTAAAACATTAAATTGCGATCAGACTATGAATATTAAATTTCTGAATTACTTTGTTTCTCAATAAACGAGTGTTGAATCAAATATGTCGATATAACGTCACATTTTCCAAGAAAATACCAGAAAAACAGTTATATGTTGTTGAACTTGTTTACAGGAACATAGTAATATAAAAAGATTTGCCAAACACAAGCAAATCTGAAGTTAAATGTTTTTATTGGATTGTCGATTTTTGACGTATATATATATATAATTACATAAACTTTATTTTTCCAACATATTTTGTAGTTAACTCCCATCAAAGAAAGCGATGCACATACTTATCGTTTCGTTATCACTTAGCCAAATTGGACAAAATGCTTCATTCATAAAGGACAATACACCTTGGCTTTGGAAGGTTGGTCAGCAGTCGTGAAGTTCAGAAGCGGTCACGTACAGCGGTATTGATCAAACGGGTTATATAGATATGTATTAATAAGATTCACTTAATATCTCTGCATTTGGGTATAATTAAATGCCTTATTATTTATTGATTACATTTGAAAATTAAATAATAAAATGCCTTATTTATTGATTACATTTGAACATTAAAGCAAAATAGAGAAGATGGCAGTAATTTTAATGGAATGGTGGCTACGTATTATCATATGTAAGTGATTATACATTACAGTATAACGCCATTTTTCGGCATTTTTTTCAGATTGATCAATATAATTCATTGTAAACCTTTAATAAACTGATTATATGGCATTCCAAGACGATGGTATATATTGCACAGCTACAATGTACAATTCTGAATCCTTCCGTACTATGTAACCTTTAGGTAGTTTGTATTATTTAGTTCATATTCGTACTTGATTGCTCCCTGTCGACAACCACTTATCAACCAGAGAGTGGCACCGATATGCCAAATGTTGATGTATAAATAGATATAGCACGACGGAGTCTCGCCAGTCCTGTCAGTACTCCCACAGCCCGTCCACCAGCCTTGTCCCGTCATGTTGTTCCTTGTCCTTCTCATCGGTCTTGGCGCTCAACTGGATTCAATTCTCTCTGCTCCATCTGTAGGTAAGAGTCATCTTTAAATGTTGTCCTTTTGTTTACAGGAGGACTGTTGTGTGTTTTGTAGTAAGTAAAATCGATTGTTTTTATTTACAGGAGGACTGTTGTATATTTGAAGTATATAAAATGATGTTTTATTTACAGGAGGACTGTCGTTTGTTTTGAAGTATATAAATCATGTTTAATTTACAGGAGGACTGTTGTGTGTTTTGAAGTATATAAAATCAGAGTTTTTACTTTTTTTTCACAAACAATGTACGTATTAAACGTGTCGCAATGTTTCAAGACTGACTGGTCCCTTTGTCAAGCTACATGTATGACTGAGTGAGTATTATTTACCTGTACAACTATGTTACGAAATTGTATATTTTTCATATTACTCGACCCGAGACGTTTCGCCTATCGATAGGGAGTATATANCCCTCGTCTCTGTTCATGTTCTGAGTTTTCCTGATTTTAATTGCGTCCTTGATTTGTCTCGTTTTTGTGTGTTGTTCACTTTCAACTATCTTGGCATTGTCCCAATCGACGATGTGATTTTGGGTGTTAGCGTGATCTGTTAATGTCGATTGATTGTACTGGGTGGCGGATGTTTTGCGTGTCGATCTGGTGAATGTGATATTGCTCATTTTCACTACGGCCTGTTGATTTTCCTTCAGACGTGTATCAAATTTCCTCCCAGTTTCACCTATATATGACTGCTGATAATTTTTGCATGGAATTTGATATACAACTCATGTTTTGTCTAAAATGTCGGTCTTGTCCTTGGGGTGCAATCAGTAACTGTCTGCGGGTTGTCAGTAGTCTCATTGGAGCTGAAATGGTGTTTCCTTATCACCCGTGCAAACCCTTCAGATGTCCCCTTCACGTAGGGTATAGTGACCAAGCCTTTACTTTTGGTTTGGCTCTCATTACTTTTCTTCTGTCTCGGTTTTCCTATATAAAATAATGTTCTATTCACAGAAGGAATGTTGCGTGTTTTGTAGAATGTCAAATCATTTTTTATTTACAGGAGGACTGCTGTGTGTTTTGTAGTATAAAACAATCCTGTTTTATTCACAGGAGGACTGTGCTGTGTTTTGAAGTATATAAAATCATATTTAATTTACAGGAGAACTGTTGTGTGTTTTGAAGTATATAAAATCATATCTTATAACAGGACTGTTGTGTTTTGCAGTATATGATAGTAAAATTAAGACAATAAAGAAAACGTCCAGACATTGTTACGTCACATGGAGGACCTTGAGTACGACACGGAAGACTTGTTGATTGCTTGAAAAGCACATTTTGATCAAAGATATTTTTAATTCGTTTCAATTTCAAATGAGATTTAGAAAACGCTTCTCGATGAATTTCCTTTTTTAGCTCTGCTGGACTTCACTTAACAAAGACGTCTAGATTCTTTTTCATGAATACAGTATGGAATGGAAACTGTTTTGATTTTCTGTATTTAAAAGTCAGCGTGACAAATCTATTTCATTGTATTCAAATTTAACAAGCAAGCAAACTGTGACAAAATGTATTATATGGATCTTAGAGTATCAACATTTTATTTGCAATTTAGGTTAGCTACTGGTGGTTATTTTTTCTAATTGCAGTACCGCATTATATAAACTTGACACTTGAGTAAAATCATCTTACACAATTTTCGTTTCCATGTTTATGGTTTACATCTTAACCAATCAAACTTTGGCCTATTAAATTGTTTCTTTTACATGTTTGGCGCCTAAGAATATATTTTTATCCTGGCATTGACACACTGTTTAATTTTACAGAATGTGGACTGCTCCCAGCCGACTTTATTTTCCTGCTTGATTCCTCTGGAAGTGAAACAAACGTTAACTTTCTGAAGCAAGTTAGTTTCCTCAAGAACTTCACTTCCCGGTTCACCATCGGCCCGAACAACACTCAATTTGCATCTGTCACTTTCTCTACCGGCGTGCGAGACGATTTTGATTTAAACGACAATCACAATCAACAGGAATTGCAAAATGCCATCAGCAAAATAAAGTATGTGAATGGAGAAACTGCAACTCATCTTGCTCTTAACTTCGCTAGAACACACACCCTAGCAGGTAAGATCTGTCAGAGGTCTTAACAGACTAATGTTGAAGGTACAAGTACGCTAGTGTCGACATCGAACATTGCAAGTGAGGTGTTTGGAATAAAAAAGTTTTGGCATTGGAAAGATTTAAATACACATAAGTTTTTATCCGGGTTATGCTACAAGTCTGAAAACCGATTTTATATAGGAAAGATGAGTGACTCTATCAAATGATGTTTGAATATTAACAAAGACGATAGAGTTAACGGGGTAGCTATTAGGTAGGAGGCTCTTGTTATCACAGATATCATTGGTCAAATTCATCTAGGAAAAAACTAATCATTTATAACTTAATCCCCGAAATATGACTTCTCATTTATTTATTTTCATGTCTTAACCCTTGTAAAATAAAAAAAAACTTTTCTTCATAAGTCCTCGTAAGATATTTCCTGACAAATTTCACATCGTGAGAGTGGCATATTGACATTTCAAATGGACATATGTCTTTAATGTAATTCTGTTAAATCAGTTTGTCCGATATGTGGCCAAGTGATGTGTGTTAGTCTGATTAGTTTCTATAGTTTCAGTGTTGAATGATGTTTTATAATGCTATACTGTCAGATCTGCTAATACTACCACTTCCGTTTAGAAAACGTCTTTGTTTCAATACCATATTTAATGATCTCCAAGGTAGTGATTTCATTCTGAACTCGTATTAAGAGACCACCTGTGGTCAGAGGGCAACCTGTTGTTTCAATGTGTGGACTCTTAAACATGTTTAAAGGTTATAACTCACAGCATTTAAATGATATTATTAATATTTTAGTCCAAAACGGTGGACGGCCAGGTGTGCAAAAGTATGTCGTAGTAATGACGGACGGGAGATCAAACGAACCCCAGCTTACCGTTAGCTACGCCAACACCCTCAAACACCAGCCCAACGTGACGATCATAGCTCTTGGGATAGGTAGTGCTGTGGATAAGGCTGAACTACAGGCCATAGCATCGGACGGCAAACACGTGTTCACCGTTAGTAACTTTGACCTGCTGCACGTTCTTGAGAAGGAACTCACAGACACAACCTGTACAGGTATGGTTTCATAAATAAAATTATGTGTATAGGATGATAACTCTCACTGAGGAAATACTTACCTTACAATAAGGTATATACATAGTGACGAGTCATACGGCTTTCACGTTACGTCATTTTCCCATTGGATTCTATGTAAATATGCATTTCGAAAATCAATTTTCCTGGCTTCGTTTTTAGTCAAACAAAATGAAATTCAGCGCAACGCCAGGGAATTATCTAGCGTCTCTGGATTACATTTTTATAATTATTTCGTATAATTGTAAACAATGGATTTCTTTGCAAAAACAACTTGAACGGCAAAACTTAACATTGCGTCTATGGGAATGACTTCAAACTTTTATGCTGAGATGAAAATTGATATTTCAATAACTGAGCCACAGGTTACAACAGAGGCAAACTTGTATCTAAAGTTGATGTCAAACGAAATTACGATTTAAAAGAAAAAGTAAATTAACATAGATTCTAATGGGGAAAATGATGTTACGTGAAATGAGTATATTCATGCAAATGAAAATGAAAAGCAATAATTGCAACATCCAAGATGACTTATGTTAACATTTCACCATTTTACAGGGAATTTTGATACTTTATTGGTCGAATGTAAACCAGCTTGGCTTCTTTTGTAAGATTTCTACCACTAAAGGACCATATGGATACGAAAAGATTTCAAAACAAATGTCTTACCTATGTATACATTAAATGTTAAACGGGGCGACCTATGCCGACTTAATAAAATGTTGCAAAGGGTTAGTCAAATAACTGCAAACATTACGTCTTTGTTGCCATGAAATATTTTTATATTAACATACTATCACGTGATTTTTTTTTTGTAATATATTCAGTTCAAAAATCGAGCATAGCTATTGCTGATATTTTATTAAAAAACGCATTGCTTTGAAGGATTGACCATATGATTTATATACTATTGTTGTTATACCTCTAGCCTCTAGAGTATTTTCGTTTCAGTGTGTGGAGATCAACCAGCTGATATCGCGTTTTTGCTCGATTCCTCTGGAAGCGAAGGGGCTAACAATTTCCAGTTGCAGAAACAATTTGTGTCTTCGGTTGTTAACGACTTTGGAATCTCCACCACCGACACCCAAGTCGGATTGGTAACATTCTCTACATCAGCAGCAGTTGACATATATTTTAATCAGTACACCAACAAGGCGTCCCTCCTTCATGCCATACAACAAGTACCCTACAGGAATGGTGAAACAAGAACGGATTTGGGACTTCACACCGTTGAGAGGACCATCTTTCACCCTACCCATCACCATCCAGGACCACGTCCAGGGTCCAAGCGTTTTGTAATTGTCCTAACCGACGGTCGATCGAACGAGGAAGACTTGACCGAAAGGGCAGCCGTGTCCCTCAAAAGACACGTCGACGAGGTCTTTGCTATAGGAATTGGACACTCTGTAGACAAGGTCGAACTTAATAATATAGCAACAGATGACCATCAGCACGTGTTTACAGCGGCAAATTTCCATGATTTGCAAGCTCTCAAAGGAAACATCGTCAAAGAGATTTGTGAACGTAAGTCTTACTAGAACGATGGAAGTTTTCAACCTGCTTTTATTCATACACTTAACAATATTTTAAATGTCAGGACGGTATGAAATCTAGAGGATTACAGTAACACTTCGAGATCATTTCGAGGGAGAGGCTTAAAAAACCTGTTAAAAAAGGAAAAGGGGACATTGAAAACCGTTGGTGGTAAACAAGATGGTGAATAGAATGACGTGATTTAGATCGAGGTTTTACTGTAAATGAAAATTCATTGATTTATTGACATAATGTTAAGTAAACATGAGATCCACTTGTCTCATTGCTGAGTATAATGTGCGTCATAACCAAAATCACAGGACAGGATTTGTAGCCATGTCTATGTCAATAACTGGTTATGTTTAAATTGACAGAATACAAGGATTACGTTATCATAAGTCTGCGGCACCAATGGAACAAAATAGAAACACAGAAACCTTCCTTACTGTTTGATGATCTAAGTATTGGTGTCCAACGAATATTAAAAGTTGTTTATTTCAAACACTCTATAATGGTTAAAAGCAGCACACAAATTAAATTTATATAATTTGATTTAGTTCTTAAAGTAAAACCACTGTTTTTATTTTGTTTGTTTGTTTCAGATCGTGTCGTGCCACCAACTACTACAGGTAAGATCCTATATTATAGTTCTGATGAACAATATAATATAATCGCAACTTTGTCACAGCAACAGGCTATTATTACCTGTAATGTCAAATCAAATTATAAACATGTAGGTTATGTGATAATTCCAAAGTGGACTTTAAATGGAATGAGACAATTACGTCATTACTTTTTAATAAAAGAAAAAATGGTATTTGTTTTTACTCTACTTTTATTTCTTTTAAAAAAAATGTGTTTTTACTTTGTCAATTTACTCTTACATTAACCCAAATATCAAATTCATTTTATTTATATCCACATTTAAGATAAGATTAATTATTATTTCCATTTCAGCCAAACCCACCACAAAACCAACTACAGTCACAACAACAAAACCAACTACAGTCACAACCACTCCAACTACTACAACGACTGTCAAACCAGGTAATACATGGCCGTGTAAGCTTTATAGAACGTCAAACCAGCTAACATGATAGCATGTTACGTTTATTGACAGTCGAATCAGATAGCATGTCGCTTGTTGGCTTTGTACTCCGTCAAATAAGGTAACATATAGCGTGTTGGCTTTGTACTCCGTCAAATAAGGTAACATATCGCGTGTTGGCGTTGTAGACCGACAAAAAGGTTAATCTATAACTGTTGACAGTCAAACCAGGTAACATGATACCGTGTAAGCTTTGTTGACGGTCAAAAAAATTACAGATTGCCGTGTTAACTTTGTAGAGCGTCAATTCAGGTAACATATAGCGTGTTGGCTTTGTATTCCGTCAAACACGTCAACCTATAGCCGTGTTAGCTTTGTTGACAGTCAAACAAGGTGAAACTATGACCATGTTAGGTTTATTGACAGTCGAACCAGGTTACATATGGCCGTGTAAGGTTTGTTGCCTGTCAAAACAGGTAACATATGGCCGTGTTAGCATTGTTTACTGTCAAATCATTCATAAAAGACGATGACATATTGCCATCCTTAGAAGGATCATTCTAGAACCTGTAAGATTCGAATAGTCAATCTCTTGTTTAGGCTCTCATGCTCTTCCCCTTTAAGTGTCATTTTTTAAAATTTGTATTTTATCTTTAAACACATTTTAACAACCTTTTTTTACCTGTCTACAGTGAAAACAATTGTAATTTAATGTGTATTCCATGTTCGACTTTGTAGTAACAATTTCTTTAATTTTCCGAGTTTTCTCAATTTTTCTTTAAGGTCATAGGAGTGTATTGATAAATGGAAATAGGAAGTACATCTCTAGTTGAAAATCCAATGTAGAGAGACAGTATCACAATTTCCGCATATTCTAATGTTTAATATTAAACTGATGAATATTGTATGTTTATTATTGACAGAACAGTTTGTTCTTTCAATATATAAGTATTTCAAAGCAATCCAGGCATTAATTCAGTTTTTTTTTTATCAACGAGTCAAATATGTCTATTTTCCTGTCCTTCAGGAAACCGGCTACCTATTTCTCTACTGTGAAGTTTTTCAAGAAAGATAACTCTTCCATGCAAATTACTATGTGTGTATGGTTTTATTATAAAGCGTCCATTTTTAATCGTTTATAGATCATTCATTTTACACAATTTCAGCATTTATTAAATTTATATACATTAATGCAATACTAATCTATGGCAGTGACATTTTAATTGACATTATTTTGCCAAAAATTGTGTCTTTCATTTTTTTCTTCAAAATTCAGTCCTTTTTAAAAAGGTTTCCATTTAAAATCCTTAAAATTCTGACAACCTGTATTTTTTTGTGGCAGAACATTTTTTTTACTTCAAAACAATATAACTACAAAATTTGAAAAAAATCTACTGAGAAATTGTGACATAATCTTATTACCTTAAGTCATTTTTGCTGTGTCTCCCAGTTAGAATGAAAGGAGTCATACTGACTTAGACGCGTTCTTCTCCTTCAAACAAATCTTGGCTGAGCCGTAACTTTTAAACCGTACAAGGCAAAATTGACATATTGATGAAACTTGAAGCATATCTGCATAATCAACTCCAAAAGTGTGCAATGCAATGAAATTAAGTCACGCAATGCCAAAGGTCAAAGAAGTGCAACATATTAAGTGATATCTTTAAAGGCTGTTAATATTAAGCAATTGATGATATTTTTGTGAAGATTAAAGATTTTTTGTATAACACACAGTTGGTTAGCAGTAAGCTATATTTGCATCACCAGGACTTTAACTCTAGGTAAAACGTAATGACTGCCAATAAAAGCTCAAAAAATAATGCCTATCAGTAGTCTGATCATACTCATCAACTTGCCTTTTTTGTAGAATGTGGCGACAAACCAGCTGACATTGTGTTCGTGCTCGATTCATCCGAAAGTGAAAAACAAGTGAACTTTACGAAGCAAGTTAATTTTGTCTACAATTTTGCCAAACGATTTCAAATTGGTCCAAAGAATGTTCAGTTCAGTACTGTAACGTTTTCGTCTGAAATCAGGAACGACTTTTACCTCAATACCTACCATCACCGAGGTGACGTCCTTCACGCTATCCAAAACCTCAAGTACATGGGAGCCGGAACCAACACGTCTCTGGCTTTAAAATTCGTACGCCAGAACAGTTTCCTTCCGGTGCACGGAGGACGACAGAACGCTTCCCACATTGTGATTGTAATCACCGACGGACAGTCTGCTGATCCAACAAGTACTGCGCACGAAGCTTCTTCCCTGAAACACGCAGTGGACAAAGTGTTTGCTATCGGTATTGGTGATAAATTAGACACGAACGAACTATCAGCCATAGCAAGTGACCACAATCCTCTGACCGTCACAAACTTCGATCTCCTACATACCATACAGCAAAGCCTCGAAAACGCTGCATGTCAACACTAGTATCATAAAAGCATGAAAGTATAATATTGAGTCCAACAGGTCCTTTTATTCGAACAGGATATAACTAATTTCACCGACATGAAATTATCGATATTTTCCAACTTCTGATACAGTTATCGATGTTTTGTGTATTTATTTATGGAAAAACAAAATATCTATGCAACACTAATCGTCTTAATATGCATTAATATGTAGAGATTACGACTTAAAACTACGAACCCTCAACAGCTGCTCTATTTGCACCCAAAAGAACGACAAGGATTGATTGGTTGGATTTTAATAAATTTATTGTAATAAATATTTGATCATGTTAATAATCCTCTTTATTTTTTCAGTAGCCCCGTTGTTTTTTGACAATGATTTTCGTTTTTAAGCGTGTACATGTACACTAATAAGCAATACTCATTTAGAATCATAATACATTACATCATATATACAGCTGTATATATTGTTTTGTATAATTCGTTTTAAATATATCGGGGAATCATTAAAGATATGTTTTAAATTTCATAAAGAATAATAGAGGTGAAGGTTACCAATCATTTAGAGATCGTAAACAACAACAACAACAACAACAACAACAACAACAACAGAGGCAAGATAAGTGCTCTAGCTAATACATAATATATCCAAACAGACGGGCTTTTCCTTTTAACAATTCAAATACTTTCAGAGATATCGGTAATGCTATGGTGAAGACGGTTGTCTGCATTGGTGAAGATAGTGACCTGCAATAATAGCATGTGTTGCCTTTTATTCCGAGATCGGGGTTTGATGCTAACAAATGATGGTGTTTTACTAGGATAAATAACGTGAACTTATTGTCGGTTATTAAATACTTTTCAAAATGTAATTCTTCTGATAAGGTTTCCTTGATAAGTCCCTATAAGAAGAATAAATCTTTCGCCTTTTACTAAAGATTTTCGTGGAGAGGAACAATTTTGAGTATTTACTCATTTTTCAAACACTGTATTGAACAGGGAAACAAAATAATAATTACAGACGCAATAACATTATGTTGGTAATACACCCTAAATTATGAAAGTCTGGGTTTCCCCTTAACAAATTAAATACTTTCACGCCCAATTAAAGAAAAACTATATTCATGAAAAAGTTGAAATATGAACACTTACATTGAATTGTCAATTTCTTGTCCGATTACGTTATTCATTATTTATATCCAAACTGTTTGAGCATGACTAAAATACTAGTAAAATCTCAAATGACCCTTTTTCATAAAAAAGACATAGTTGATTTACTGAATGTAAACTGACGGATTCAGCTGGATTTCTAATTCAATTCTAATGCTTTTGACCTGAATTGATTTATCGGGATTCAAGTTGTCGTGAATTCGGTGTATGTTATTCACACACCGTCACAACAAGTAGTTGTAACTGCTCCCAGCTCCTGAAATCAAATACAAGGTGGAGGAAAATCACTTACGTGTTGTTTGTTCGAGTTTAAGATGATAAGAGACCGCGCCAATACGTCACAGCGATGTTGTCGCGTAGCTCACGAGATCTCGTATCGGCGCGGTCCACGGTCCAAGGAAGATAACTCTCCTGAAAATGCACCACACTCCTCCCCGTTTTATGAAGGCCCCTCCTAGGGCCTGGTTATGACCAGGAAGAAGTCCGATGATGAGAAACCGCCTGGGTGTTGGCGCTTGAAGTCGGCCCTCCAGATGTGGATTAATGGGGAAGTCAATACCCCCCTTAAATGAACAGTGTTCTGTGAAGGTCAGATCCCCCTTAAGTGAACAGTATTTTATGAAGGTCGGAACCCCCATTAAGTAGATAACACGTTGTCGCCTCCTAGAATTCAGCGACAAGTTGTTTAGTAACCCCTTAAGTAACAATATGTTGTTAAGTACAGTCCTACCGTAACCATTTGGAGATTAGGTTAGTGGTGGAGGCCAGTGTTTGATTAGGCCTCAATAACCACAGCTTTTAGTCTTGCTGGGCTTATCTCCCCTAGGCACACCACGGCTATGGATATAATCCAATCAATAGGCACAGTCACCCCGTGCCTTGATAAGTATGAAGATGTCCTCTGTTCCTCTAACCTTGATGTGATAGGTATTGCCTGATTACCAATGAACAGGACATCCGCATCTAGGTCGATGACACAGTTGTTCCGGGACAGGAAATCAACCCCAGCAACATGTCGTCCATGATGGGGACCTCACATACGGTCCAGGGTACTTCAGTGTTCCCTATTCCGATATGTAGGTCTTTTATTTCCCACACTATCTCCACATTGCCAGTAAAACCCCGGAGCCTCACTCGTTTTCCAAGCACCAGTGGCCCCTCAAGCTTGTCTACCAGCTCCCGCCTAATCAGTGTCATAGTTGCTGCTGTATCCACGACAGCTTGAATAGGAGTTCCATTCAAAGTGAGAGGAATGGTGATGCTACTGCCATCTGAGACCGCCAGCTTCACCTCCCTCAAAGGTTGGACCTCCTTTCTAGGCGTGGGGGATGGATACCTTGATCTCTCTGCCTGGGTATTCCGTCCTCTATCGTAACCCCAACTGGCGGGACCGTTGATCCCTCTATATGGTTCTGGGGACGCAGATGGAGACCCTGGACGGTACGCCTGGGTATTCCGTCCTCTATCGTTACACTAACTGGCGGGACCGTTGTTGCCTCGCCCTGGTTCCCAAGGGCCCCGGCATGGTTGATTTTGACCTCGACCTGTTGACCCTGTGCCAGTTGAGTCCCCCTGATATCTGGGTGACCAGTAACGGTGTTACGGAGGACCTTGTTCAGCGTACGGCGACATATCGCGGGGTCTACCGTCGTACCTATTACGCCCGTTGTCCCGGGGTGGACGAGGGTACTGAGCCCTATCGCGATAATCTGATGAGGGATAAAGGACCGGTGTCCTATCACGATAATCCGGTGATCGGTTTTCCCCATAGTTTTGAGGGAAACCTCGGTCGCGTTCCGTAGATCGGTAGTCATCCCGAGGTGGAGGAGAGGACGGACTGGCAGACACACCGCCTGCTTTCTGCGCTGCCATCTTCTCGCGACAGCCTTTGAGGAATGCCTCCGTAGCGATCTGGTTCCTCGTGGGGGTGTCTGCGTATGCAAAGCCATCCCCAGTAATGGTTTGAATCCGCTGAGCAAATTCTGCCAAACTCTCACTCTCCTAGCTCTTGTTTAGTGAAGTTTAGCTCTCTGTGGGCCACCACTGGGACGTCCTTGTCGCTAAACCGTTCCTTCATCTTTTTCGAACCCAAGAGTTCATTGAAGCTTATCGGCGTACTCCAACGCATCCCCAACCAGACAATCGAAAAAATGTTGTTTGGTCTTACGGTCCGACCATTAATTGTCCTTTATAATCCTGGTGAATTTAAGAGCGAATGATTCCCAGCACTCTTTACCCGAGTAAGTGAGCATCTTATGTCGCTGAGGACTCTTACTCCTTTGACGATGCCTCTGGTAGTCGGAGGAGGAGTCCCCTGAATCTGTATTGCTGTTCCCCACGGCGCGTGCCTTGTGGTTGGCGCATATGTCGCTCACCGGGGACGCGATGCGTGCGCCTTGCAGGACGTTCGTTGTCCGACCTATCGCGAGTCCGTCTATTTCTTTTTTCTTCGCGGGTAGCACGCGCTGGTGTGGTTACGCCACAATTTACTGTGCTGGTTAAGGGCCCCCTCGCGTAAGCACCGGCAATGGCCGAAGGCAGACCATAAGCGTTAGACTAGGCTTGAAATCTTCCAGCAGGAAGTCAGACTCCTTTTCATTGTCCGATGATAGGCATGACAAGGGCAGACTCATTTCCCCTTCAACTTTTGGGGCAGATTCCAGCTTAAACCCCCACTTAGAAGCAATGGGTGCAATGGGTGCATTGGCACCTCCAGCTGTCCATGTTGCCACATGGGAACCCTGATCTTGACCCCTTACATACCTCCCATCCTTCGGAATAGCTTGTAAGATAGGGTCAAATCCTGACTCCTTCTGTTTACCTCTATCCCCCCAGGGTGACCAGCTATTTGTTTGTGGCCCCTGGCTGGCATACTGACCACCACTAGGTGTAGTCACAAATATAGGCGAGGAGGCGAGGCAGCACGAGCAGCCAGGCTCTCTGTTTTTTAAGAGCCCCCGTCTCCAATGTTACCATCAACTCCCTAAATTGGACCTGCAGCTCCTTAACTTGCTGCTTCATGTCCATAACTTCGTCCTCCTGTCTATCTAGCCTATCTGCCCGTGATGAGGTCGACCGGGTTGGTGAATGCGCCTCCTCAGGGGCAGTGACCATTATGCCCGTGATGACCCCATCACTTTGCCATTTCTGCCACTTCTCAATGCCCACTCTGGAAACAGTCACCAGTTTCTGCAGAGTAAGCCCCTCATCATCTCTCATACACAAGATTTTCTGTGCCGTCGCAGGGCCTTAACCCTCCAACGGGCACAGTGCATCCACTGTAGTTGTCCGTATATTTATGACAGCCATGACAAAATATAAAGTTCCAAGAAAGAAATAAGTCAACACACTTCATTAAACAATTACCAAATTATGTACAAGGACAGATATCAACGGTGCTATGGTAGACACGTGCAACCTTCCCGAACAAAATTCCAACGATTACAACTATATACGATTTACAGTGTACAAAATAATTTCTAATTCCTAAAATAATTAATTTCTAACCTAATGTAATAATAACCTAACTAAACATATAATAATTTCCCTACAATATAAAAATCATATCCTATACTAACGATAACTCAAGTCTCGCCTGTCATATGTATTCCGCCAATATGGGCGGCCCACTATACAGGCGAATGGAGTTCCGTGTAAAACTAACAAACTAACTAAATTAAATTAAATATAAATTTCAGAACGGCAGTGAAAACACCGCCGACTCTGAATTACCACTAACACATAATTAAATAAACAATAATAAACTACTAGAACTATCCCAAAGTCTCTCACTCGTTATTCGCGCACTGCTCAACAAAACGGCCAGCGAACGTGCGAGCGAGGACCAGAAAGGTAAATAGATATAAAAAGATGACAATTTGTCAAAAAAGCGCGAGTTGTTTCGCACTTGTGACACCAATTGTCGTGAATTCGGTGTGTGTTATTCACACACCGTCACAGCAAGTTGTTGTAACTTGCTCACAGGTCCTGAAAGCAAATACAAGGTGGAGGAAAATCTCTCATGTGTTGTTTGTTCGAGTTCAAGATGATAAGAGACCGCGCCAATACGTCCGTCACTGCGATGTTGTCGCGTAGCTCATGAGATCTCGTGTCGGCGCGGTCTACGGTCCAAGGGAAATAACTCTCCCGAAATACACCACAAAGTG